AAAGTTTCAAGGGGAATTTTTGCTAGACTCCAGGCTTCCGCCCAGAGCGATGACACACAAGGAAATTAGAGCCACCGCCGGGATTTAGGCACACACAAGGGATCTTTTGTTCCTCTAAGAAAAGCAAGAAGCAATCAGCCAGGGCATTGCCGGCTGTGCTGGCTCTTGAGGGGATCCTGGATGTTCCCCCAAAGCTTTTAGGGCGCTTTCAGGAGTGCAAATGCCTTCTGCAGCACCCAAAGGTGTAAAAGGCACCGACACCCAACGTACTTTGCCAGGTAGCACCAGGAGGATGGAGACCAACACCAGAGATGGTCACGTCACCCTGCAGACAATGTGTCCCAAAGCACAAATTGCTTCAAATCACACAGCCTCTGCTATTAGCAATCACTAAACGATCCATCCTTCCACCATCCCAACACTTGACTCCACTGCCTCCGGTAGCAGCACTTGGGGCAAATTAACTCCACGCTGTGTATTTTGCCTGAAACAATATTGTTTCAATGAACCAAGTGCACTGAGTCTCACACTGGCCCTGCAGTGAGTTTCTAAAGAGCTGGTCACCGGAAAAATTAGTGGCTGTTGCATATGAATTTTAATCATTTGCCTTTTTTTTTTTTTAAGCTGTTTTACATGCAAGTCCTGCAAAGCAACTTTGCAAAGCGACTCTTTGCAGAACATCCTCTTTGGGAGAAGCTTGCATTTAAAGGGGAGTTCTCACACATGCCCTCATCACGGTAAGTGTTCAGATGCTTTGTGAAGTATTTTGTCCCCAAAAAAGGGATCAGATGATGTTATATACCCTGTGCAGTCCCTTGCTCAGCCCACCCACAGCTTTCCCCCCCCTTTTTTTTTCCTTCTCCCCCTCCCCCCCCTTTTAAATTGATATTTCCTGATGCCAGGGTGACACTAGACACAGAATCTGGCAGAGCTTTAGAGCCACCTGTGAAGATGCCTCCCGTCCCATCTCATGGACGCTTCCAGCTCAAGGCAGGCAAGAAAGCAGAGGACAACTTCACTAACACTTGTACACCAGCAAGTGTCTTTACGTTCTGCCCCAGCACTCTGCCTCTACATGGTATGCTAGATGCCCAGAGAATTAAAAAGTTAAGTGCCTCCAATTTCACTCATTTAACAGAGGAGCTTAGATTTTGTGCCCTTTTCCCTTGCCATCCACTCAATCCCATTCAATAACCTCCACTGAGTCTTCCCAGTGTGCTCTGGGCCACTAATAAAGCTAAAATACAGATATATTTATTACATAGATGTAGTATGCATTTTATATATTTTATATAATATATAATACAAATGTGTGTGTATTTATGGTTTGTATGTGTATATGTGTGTGTATATAATATGACCTTGCCTTATGGAGAAGGGCTATTCAAAGGTGACTTCATGGTTCCTGATTACGCCCTTGCTCTGTTTGTCCCATAAAACTAGGACACACCTTGCAGCCTTCCTTATGCAAGTTCTTCATGAAAAGGATGAAAAGTTTGCCCTCAGAGGACCGCTGCAACTTGAAACCCTGCAGCAAGAGAGAAGCTGGCACCATCAGCCCGTTCACACACTCACTCCAAGCTTGCATTATTTGCCTGTGGCCCCAAAAACATCTCAAGCACCATTTCAGCAATGCTTTCTTTGAAGGGTTTATTACCCCAGTGCAGTGTCTGACCTCAAGGAAGCAGTTTAATGAGAGTCAGCTAATCAAGTTCTGCTCTGCCACACAAACTGCATGAGTATTATCCCATGGACACATATAGAAGCATGAAAATGAAGAAGCCACTCATTGCAAAACTTGGAGATGACACTCCACCGAACACCAGACAAGCTCACACAGCAACAACAATTCACTGGCTTCAGCAAGGGATTTACTCAGCAGATTTTGCTCAGTGATGTTGCAAATAGCGTCAGCTATTTCCAAGCGACCTTCCACAGAGAAAGCTTGGTTTATCTGTTGTTTTTTTCTTGCTTATGTTGAAGACACTCTCGTTGAAAGAAAACCAGAGAAATTCAAACAGAATGTACATTTGTATTACTTTTTCTCACTTTTCTGTGACGTGATTTGCATTTCATTTGTTTTTAAGCATGAGTAATTCCATTTTGAAAAAAATATGTAAGCCTGTATATGCATATACTTACACAAGCACACACTTATATAGGTAAAGAAAGAAACAAACCCAGAAGGCTAGCCAGAGACTGGTTTCCTGCGCTCAGTCACACTGCAAGTTTGACCTTCCGAGAGGGCAGGTTTGAGTTTTATTCCTGGTCTACAGGATGCACTGGACATAATGCAATTGTTTAGAAACTAAGACAGTGCAAAACAAGTGATGATTTTGCACCAGTTTAGGTTTAACATGCTCACAGACCTCCATCCTGGTGGCCGAGATGCCCAAGTACCTGTGTCCCACCATGCTCACATGCACCCCTGTTGCCCAAAGCAGAGCTTCAGACAGGAGGCATCTCATAGAGTCAGTAATTAGCTTAGAAAAAAGCAAAAAGGTCATGCTCAACACACTACATCCATCACCCATGAAATGCATCATCCACACACCCTGCTCAAGCAGCTCCACCACTCTCCCTTGCAGCGCTGTGGAGGGAAAAGCCTGGATCAAACTGCAGAGAACACAACGTCCACCCAGAAGCTTTCAGGTTTAAAATATAGTGTGCTACGTTTTAAGGCACATTTCAAATAGCCAAGCAGATTCCTATAATCCACTTTACAATCTCCTCTCAGCCCCATTTGAATCCCTCTTTTGTACCCAAGCCTGCAATTATCGTAATACCAGCCCGAGACAGAGAGCACCAGAGCAGCGCTGAACAGCAAGCGTCTTGTTTAAGAGCTCTGAAGGTGGCGATTTCCACGTCCCCTTGCAAACAGAGCTCTCCCTACCATCCGCAGCCAGCAGTTATGAATTAGATGGGTGGCTGTCAAAAGCAGATTTACTCTGACAAGGAGGAGAGCACAGAGTCGAACATCTCTGGCTAGAGCTGTTGGTTAGCCCGCTGCCTGCAAAAAAAACCACAGGGATGTGAGAAAGCACCAAGCCTTCCCCAGCACAGACTTCAGCAGAAAAGCAAGCAGTTGTCTTAAATTTTAGATGCGTGTCCAGGAAAATCCATGGGTCCTGTCCATGTTGGTCAGCAAGCCCTGACATCTTCTACAAAGAGCCATGCAGCTTGCTGCTCAGCCTGGATTTATGTAACAAGGACACAGTTCTAAGTCTTCCTCTGTCTCTAGACAGCTCCCCAGATTGCTAAATTCTTCCCAAAGCACAAGCACTTGCGGGAGATCTTAACTGCAGGTTGGAGTCAGCTTGGGTACAACCCATCTGATCTCCACCCATGGCGGTGCTCCTCCAGATGCATTTCTGCATTGAACTCTGGCTCATCTTTGACTTAGAAACATGCCGTAACTCACCACTTGCTGCTGAGACACAGCAGAAAAGAGGTTGAAACCCTTGGTAAACGGTTCAGTGCTTACTCTTGCTATTAAAAGCCAGGGCTGTATAAAAATCACAGCTAATCCACAAGGAAATCTAAACACACTGTGCGAGTCCAGACAACTATAATAAAATGATCCCCAGTGCACCAAGTTCCAGTTGCTCACAAATTCTCTTAGATCATCGCTTAACTGGCAAGAGCAAAATCCTGCATCTGTCCTCAGCAACACAACACACACAAAAATAAAGAAAGTAAAACTTAGACCTCATTCATCTGGTGAAGATGCTGCTTTGAAGCACCCGGAAGTATCTCCAGGTATTCACCAGAGTTACCTCCTAACTCAAAATCACAGTGTCTCAATGAAGAGGACTAATATTAACTTAGTCTGATTATCTCACCAAATTATCTGAAATGCTGTTTCCTCCAAGCTATTAAACATGACATTTGCAGAGTGGTTTGAATTTCTTCCAGGAAACTCATCCAAGCAGCAGCAGAAGAGGGATCCCCATCTGAATCACAGTTGCACCAAACCCATGAGCTCCTGAGGACCAGAGATCCCCATCAGCCCAGCCTGCCCAGCAGTCTTGGCAGCTGTTAACAGGGTCAAGTCGGTAAGCAGAATTAATTAGAAACATCTGACCTCAAAGAGATTTCAGCATGAAGCAGTTCTACTCTGTGCAAGGGAGGCTGCTGCAGGAACCAAGTCTTGCATCTCTTGCACCTGGGTCAGGGTAACCCCCAGTATCCATACAGGCTGGGGGAAGAAAGGATGGAGAGCAGCCCTGCCCAGAGGGACTTGGGAGTGCTGGTGGATGAAAAGCTGGACATGAGCCGGCAATGTGCACTGGCAGCCCAGAAGGCCAACCGTACTCTGGGCTGCATCAGGAGAAGTGTGGCCAGCATCGAGGGAGGGGATTCTGCCCCTCTGCTCTGCTCTGGGGAGACCTCCCCTGGAGCCCCGCGTCCAGCTCGGGAGGCCTCCGCACAAGGGCCCAGAGGAAAGATGGGGAAAATCTTTTTAGTAGGGCCAGCTGTGACAAGACAAGGGGTAATGGTTTGAAACTAAACCAGGGTAGGTTTAGACTAGATCTAAGGAAGAAATTCTTTACAATGAGGGTGGTGAAACACTGGCACAGGTTGCCCACAGAGGTAGTGGAGGCCCCATCCCTGGAAGCATTCAAGGCCAGGTTGGATGGGGCTCTGAGCAGCCTGATCTAGTTAGCGGTGTCCCTGCTCCTGCAGGGGGGTTGGACTAGACAACCCCTAGGGGTCCCTTCCAACCTAAAACATTCTATGATTCTATGATCTCGCAGAAGAGGGACAGAGCTGCAGCACCCATGGGTGAAGATGGCTACCACGATGGGGAGATGACGTACCAACTTAGGGATATAAAGGCATGATAGAAGACACCATATTCTCAGCAGAGATGAAAATCTGGAAATTTCACTCTTTTCTGCAACTTCGCTTTACCTGCATACTTGCAATATTTAATTTTATATTTGCCTGCTTTTGATCCAACAGTTTGATCCCACCGTGTTGACTGAGCACTCACTCACCTGGCCATCTGCTTATAGGCTTCCTCTGCCACTGCAAAGATGTGGGGATCCATATCCCCCATATTTTGGCCACTGTACGCGTAGATGACATCTTGTTCATAGATTGGCAGCTGCTCATATGGATTGATGGCAACAAGTACAATACCTTAGAACAGATAAATAGACAGATATGTTAGAAACCAAGCACAGGGTTAATACTTCAAGCTTTTCAGGGCTTGCATTAGTTGTTTCAATCAATTTTTTTTAAAATATTCTTGGAGAAAAAAGGATGAGAAGGGAATGGGGAAGAACTCCTAATTCTTATCTCAGCATCTCCTTCAGAGTGCTGTGCTTTGATAGCAAGGCTATAAGCTCCAGTACAGCTACAGAGGAGGCATACAAGACTGGTGAGAAAAGGAAATATATAATCATCTTCATTGTGTTGAAGACAGACTTTGCAGGAAGAGTGAGAAGAGGAGCTAAACAGTGCCTGAGCCATCACTTCAGAAAAGCAATTCCTGTGCAACCAAAGCTCTGCTAGACCCAAACAAATACCCCAGCTTTTCCTCTGGCTTAAATTCCGAGTAAAAGCTCATAACAAAGAATGTACTCAAATCAAAATGAAATGCATAAGTCACAGGAAAGGAATGCCAGAGCCTGCATTAAAGCTTGAATGTCTCCTCCTTCTCCAGCTCTAGGAACACCATGCCGGCCCGGAGGGGGAAGTGAGCCCAGGAATTAATGAGAGGCAAAGCCACGCGTGGTGATACCTGTGTGCTCGAGGGAGCTGGTCTGCACCCTGCAAAACTGAAGCACTGACAAGTCCCACCTCCAAAGGACCTTCAGGTTTTGCAGGTTTAAATTGTTATTGTAAGGAGCTCCGGAAAGCACGTGGCTGGTGGGAGTGGGTGCTGTGCTCCCGGTCCAGCCAACTCAGTGCTTGGGCACGCTCAAATTACAGCAAAGCACAGGAACTCCCAGCCTGCAGCAAACAGCAGGATACGGTGACTTAAGCTACACCAAGAGGCAAAGGTCAGCTAAGTCACATTACCTGCCTCCACGAGCTATTAACCCAACAGCTTCACCTCACCATGCCCTGCTCCTATTTGTTGGTATCTTGGGTCTGTTAGGGTCATGCATCCCTTTCCCTTAGCGACCGAAAACATGCCTGCAGCCGTGATGTGCACCGAGCTGAAGGGCAGTAGTTGCCTGAGCACTGGCTGCCAGATAAGCACTTTTCTCCCCTCCTAAACCACTTTATAATTAGAGCACAGGGTACATCGCACCCACACAGCGCTCTGTAGCTAGACATACGCTTGCTAAGCTCAAACAGCCAAGCCTAAACCCATGCGTCTTCATTAGGACGATGCTGTGCTCAAGATTATTATAAACCCTCATGAGAAGCTGCACTAATGAAACCCCACTGATTTTGGATGAAAGCAAGCTTGCATCTGACCAGGAGGTGCACAGGCAGCTGCAAAAGGCTGCAAGTTATGCCAATAGCCTAACATTACACATCATTAAATATTTAAAGGAAAGTCACCACTATTACTGGCCACTGAGGCCACGCAGGCTACTTTAAAGAGTCATCTCCTCCTGCCACACATTTCTTCAACAACCCTAAATTGCAACACTTAATCACAGCTGTAGGTACCAGCCTTAACCCTGCCACACAAACAGTCCCATGCATTTCACTGTAATCTCGCAACTCATCACTTAGAGAATCGTTAGTCTGCATCACGGCGAGCAAGGTCATCTTGAGTGCCAGCAAGAGGGTTCAACATTCAATACTCTCCAATATAACTGAACAAAAATGGCTGAATTGCCTTCTTCCTTTTTCTCTAGGTTGCGATGTGATGCCATCTATTCGCAGATAACTAGTGTCTTGAATGGTTTTGGCAGGTCACTCTCTCTAGGAATGACAAATCCACGTTCATACCTGCCCTCCTTCTGCTTTGAATTTAAGAGTTAGATGACCAAAGTCATCAAGAAAAGGCAGGAAACAACAGTGCAGCAAGGTTTCTTCACAGTCTTCCAGGAGGAAGACCCACTATGGACATTTCTCAGTTGGATCGCATCTTTCTGGCACTCTGCTGTTCTCCAGTGCTTTGCTAGGTCCTACTTTTTTCCCCCCCAGACTGCCAAGCACACGCAGGCATGGCCTCAAACTCATCTGACAAGATGTTTCCAAGAGTTAGATCCACAGACCACGAGCTCAAGAAGTTCACGGTGCACCCACCCTCAAAAACCACCTCTGGTTTTGCAACATAAAGCTTGTTGGTACACACTTGTCTGCCACCTGCTCCAAATTCACAGCCCCAGGACCTTCCTCATGCCACCACAGCCTCTGGCTTGTGGTCTCAAGGGGTTTCTATTTGAGCATGCTCTAATCCACTGTTTTCCAGGATCTGAACGTGGGGCCTGGACACTCACCACAGTACGTGTAGATGTGGTTGGACTCGAGGAACCTGACTTTGAGGTTGTGGAGGACCGCGGGCTCGTGCAGGTAGCTCAGGGCTGTCAGGTCATTCTCTCCCACCAGGATATCCGGATTGCGCAGGAAAGGCAGCTCATTTCCTTGGAGGTCAATAGGATATTCATAGAGCTGAAGAGACACACATGAAGAACATGAGAACACCAAAACCAACAGCTCCTTTAATGTCTTATAATCCAAGGATAACTTTGGCTTGATGGGGTCAATACTTCCACCTCCTACTCTAACTGGAATGAAAGCCCCTTTATGCTAACTGCTATAGGGACCTGGGTGATCCTGCTGTCCCACACTGCCAGGAGACAGGACATCCCCCTGGTAAATGGCTTTGAGCTGGCCAACAGATGGTCCTGGGGGACACAGATGGTCCACAAGCACTGGGGCAAATAGCCTTCAGCCAGCTCTGAGCAGTAACAGGTACCATACAGAAAACCACACCTTCATCTGATCATCTTCATGCTTTTTGAAAGGCAGCCTGATTTCAGAATAGACCATATTCTTCCCATCAGAGTGATTTCTCAACTCATTTTTAGTTCAAGCTACTTTTATACTCAAAACCTTACACCCTATCAGGCAGAGAAGGACGTGGAGAAGCACAGAGTCCCTGCTGCTTCAATATCTGAAGAGCCAGGTTATGCAGTTGAAGCATATGGCTGTCCATATGCTAACAATTTTTGGCTCAAATGAACAGCAGAGCCACCAAATAAAGAAAAAAAATTTTTTTTTTCCATAAGAGTGGGGAAAAAGATTAATAATAATTGCCTGTGATGTTGCTTCCCATGGAGTGTCTCAGGAAGGGGTCCTGATGCTCAGCTCCCAGCAGAAGGGAGGAATCCCAGTTTGAAAGAAGAGAACCACAACCATTGCATCGGCACTGGATCACAAACAGCACAATAAAAGCTAACCCAAGTGCACAAGGACAGGCTCACACACACAGCACATCTGACGACCTCAAGCTTTGTTTACACTCCAATTCCATGTTGCCAATTTTCAAGAGTGTGCACTCAGTCTCTCATCCTAACATCAAACACACCAGGGATCCCTTATGATATTTAAAAATCAGCTCTTCATTCAGAAAGAGTACTCTGGCATACAGAGTATCGCCAGAAACCACAAAATCCATGAAAATTCACTTAAAGCACAAGGACAAAAGAGAAGCACTGAACAGTTGGGTAATGCATGTTGGCTGTCAGGTACAAAAGGCTTTCAACAGCTTCAGACCCCCTGAAGATATGTACGCTTGGTATCTCCACCAGATGCACACGTGCCGCTGCTCCTCTTCAACCCAACCTCTTTCAACCCAACGCAAATTGGGTCTAGGCAGGGTTTCATATGGAAGAGCATCAAACAGGGGTCTCTGGGAGCACCTGCAGTAAGCAGCAGCCTCTCGCACAACCCCAAAATGAGATGTTCCTGTGTGACAATGACACACTTATTACGCTACCATCTACAACACCTAGTAATCCTTTAATCTCCTCGTACTTCAATGCTGCTGACCCTATGCTCAGCTGTACAAAAGGGCTAGACCTTGCAGGACTTCTTAGCCCCTTTGGTTTCCAGGGAAATATCCAGATAAAGTAGAATAAGAAAAAAAAAAAAAATATACTGATGATCTCAACCAGAAAAGAAGGATGCCAGTTGCAGCATTCAGCAATACGTGCACTTTGGCAGCCTGAGCACAACAAGGGATAGGAAGGAGCTGCTGTGGATGAGACGGGTGCCCATCTGCACCCAGGCACCCACCTCTGCTGGGCACCCATTAGCACTGCTTATGAAACCTGTCCCAGAGTTGAAGCCTGTAGTGCTTTTCACACCCGTCACCAGTTTCTTGCAAAGGCTTGAGCACTGCTGCTTGGTTTCTCCAAGGTTTCTATCTTCTTGCCCCAGGAGCAAGAGAAAAAGCATGTAAAAAAACCTGCACCAAGGATCATCTGTGTGGCATTCGATGCCACTGAGAGGCAGGGACAAGCTGCTGCATGGAATGACTGTAATGGTGGAAATGTGCCCATCATGAGCATCACACATCACAAGCACAAAGCATCATGTCATTAGCATATAAGATATGCTCAAATGATGACTGATATTGATATGATATGGGGGTGCTGGTGGATGAAAAGCTGGACATGAGCCGACCATGGGCGCTGGCAGCCCAGAAGGCCAACCCTACCCTGGGCTGCATCGGGAGAAGTGTGGCCAGCATCGAGGGAGGGGATTCCGCCCCTCTGTTCTGCTCTGGGGAGACCTCCCCTGGAGCCCTGCGTCCCGCCCGGGAGC